AGGCAGAGGTTGCAACAAGCCGAGATTTTACCACTGTCCTCCAGCCTGGGCAATAGTGCAAGACTCCATCTCAAAAAAAAAAAAAAAAGTATATTATATTGATTGGGTCTTCTCTTTTTTGAACAAATATATTTCCCTACATGAACAAATTTTAAAATAAAAATTTATATCCCATTTATTCTGTTTTCGGAGATTTGCTTATTACTGATTGGCTTTCTGTAACCACCAAGTGACTAACCACCACTCCACTATGTGGAGGCAAAGATACCCTTCTTTTACATCTGCTGTCTCACTTTTGCCCTGTTTACTTGGTCTTCCTCATTTAGGTTGGTCTGCTTTCCACACCTTCTGAATTGTGCAACTTTTTTTTTTTTTTTTTTTTTTTTTTTTTCTGAGATGGAGTCTCGCTCTGTTACCCAGCCTGGAGTGCAGTCATGCGATCTCAGCTCACTGCAGCCTCTTCCTCCCCGGTTCAAGTGATTCTCCTGCCTCAGCCTCCCTAGTAGCTGGGATTACAGGCATGCGCCACCATACTTGTCTAATTTTTATATTCTTAGGAGAAATGGGGTTTTACCATGTTGCCCAGGCTGGTCTTGAACTCCTGGCCTCAAGTGATCCACCCATCTCAGCCTCCCAAAGTGCTGGGATTACAAGTGTGAGCCACCGTGCTTTGCCAGTGCAACAAATTTAAGTTCTGAATTCCTCCAGAAAAAATTCTGGAAAATGCCCTGTAGATAGTTAGTAAGAAATAAAAAATAAGCAGATCTTCAGGAAAAAAATGAATTCTTCCTTTAAAATGTTTTGCAGCACAGTACAATTGCTCATAACTCTTCAAGATTTCCCTTGGTTTTTCAAATATGTTTGTCTATTGCTACAACTAAGACCTTTATACCCATTTTCTTGATTACTAAAAATTTTTAAATTCCTCCCATTAATTTTTCAGTTATTCATTAATTCAGTTTTTCATTCAATAAATAGTCTTTGAGCATACACTATATGCATACCACTTACTGTAAATTTTTCTTTCCAAACTGGTATTTTAGGAGAAAGGGTCTCTCTGTTGCCCAGGTTGAGTGCAGTGGCTATTCACAGGCCTCATCCCACTACTGAACAGCACCGGAGCTCTGATCTGTTCCTTTTCCAACCTGGGCGGGTTCACCCCTCCTTAGACAACTTGATCTCCTTCATGCCCACTGCTAGGAGGTTACCATATTGATTGTGAACTTATGCGGACATGCAGAGCGCACCACAGTCCAGAACTCCTGGCCTCAAGCAATCCTGCTGCTTCAGCCTCCTGAGTAGCTGGGGCTACCGGAGCATGCCACCATGCCTGGCTACAAACTATTCTAACCAGGCATGGGAATGAGAATAGTCAAGAAGTGATAGATTATCATAAAGCAGAATGAATAATTCCCAGTATCAGTCTCAGTGGAACAACAAAGCTGACACCACCATTAATTCTTCCCTAAATTAACATTTGGTACATGTGGACATTGCTATCCTCATTACATGGACTAATCTAAGGGATTGTCTTTGTACTCTAGGTGAAAGGGCCCTCCGTTTGACCCCTCCCTGCCCTTCCAGCTAGATCTCATAACAATCAAACACCACTCCACTTTCTTCCTCATTCTCCAGGTATTCACCAGCCCAAGAGCTTCACATCTCCAGTTTCTGCTACCTGGACTGCTCCAAACTCCCACCCTGTCCTTCCCCAATCAGGTTTAGTGGTTCTTAGATTTCTATAATTTCAAATCTATAAAACGGCAAGAAAAATAGAGTAAGGTGTGTATACTGAACTAAGATTGCCAAACTTTTGGCCAAATAAGGACCCTCAGAACTAACAAAATGACCCTCATATGTTATCATTGTAATTTCATTAACAAATACATATTTTACCCACAAAAAAGTAGGAAGGATATAATCTCAAAATAAAAGATAGATTATTTAAATTAAACTAATTTAACTTCATAAAAACTCACTACATTGTCCTCAATTTTTCTGACCATTACTCCCAATTTCTGCTGCTCCCAACCTGGTCCAACAGTCCCCATAATGTCATCTCATGCCTGGATTATCACAGTAGTCTCTTACTTTACTTGCTCCTTCCATCTTTTCTCCTCTTACATCTCTTCTAAGCCCAGCAGCCGGAGGATCCTCTTCAATAGGAATTACCCTCAAAACCCTTCATTGACTCCCCAGAGTAAAAAGCCAAAGTACAGGAAATTTTATCATCTGCAACTCCAGCCCCCTAAATCTCTAGACCAGTACTGTCTCATAGAAATATAATGCAAGCCACGTACATAATTTCAATCTTTCCAGTAGTCACATAAAAAAAAAAAATCTAGTGGTATATTTTATTTAATCCAATATATCTAAGTAATTATCATTTCAACATGTAATGGATATAAAAATTCTTAACACAAAATTCTACATTCTTTTCTTCATACTAAGTCTGCAAAATCCAGTGTGTATTTCCACCCACAGTCCATCTCAATTCAGACTGGCCACATTTTCAAAGGCTCAAGAGCCACAAGAGGTTAGTGGTTACTACTTACCATGTGTTGCACAGAGTAGATCTAGACCTTTCTTGTGCTTCTCTCCCTTCCCTCAGTCTATGCCAGGCTTTGTATTTGCTGATCCTTCCCTGCAGGACTCACTGTGCTCTCAGCTTCTTCTGATGTTGACTCAATTATCTCCATTTCAGTGGGGCCTTTCCGGCCACCTCTGCAAAGTCAACACTCCCCTCCTACCCTCCCCACCATATACAGTCTTTAATCTGCTTTCACCTTTTATTTTTTTCTTTATGCTTAACACCATCTAACAATTAAACATTTTATTATACAGTGTGGCATACTGCCCCTAGCTCATGAGGCTCATGTCTTCCTCAGTGCTATATCCTCAGTTCTGCATTAGAACAGTGCCTAACAGATAATAGATGCTCAATAAACGTTTGTTGGATAAATACATGTCACTGAAGATCAGAGAAAATTTTGTACAAACTAGCACTGGACATTGGAAGTCATTATCCTAACTAACTCTTACATATATTTAAATTTTAGCTTAAACCACTACTTTGTCAAGGAATAGTAAGAACTAACACTCCAGTGTTTACCTTATACCAGCTACTGTGCTAAATGCTTTGTGTGCATTATCTCTTATCACACTTCCAGCCTTTTGAGGTAGGTATTGTTACTTTATCCATTTTGGAGAAAAGGAACTAAAGCTGTGGAAAAGTTGAGTAAGTTACCCAATTAAAAAATAAGAACTCAGATGTGTCTGACTATATCACCATGCCAGATCTTGACCATGCTGGTCCAGGCTGGGCCTAGGTTGTATTTTTCATTGCACTTGTAATTACTTATTTTTTATTTATTTATTTTATTTATTTATTTATTTTTGAGACGCAGTTTCGCTCTTGTTGCCCAAGCCGGAGCACAATGGCGCAATCTTGGCTCACTGCAACCTCCGCCTCCCAAATTCAAGCAATTCTCCTGCCTCAGCCTCCTGAGTAGCTGGGATTACAAGCGCATGCCACCATGCTCAACTAACTTTTTGTATTTTTAGTAGAAATGGGGTTTCACCATGTCAGCCAGGCTGGTCTCGAACTCATGACCTCAGGTGATCTGCCCGCCTCGGCCTCCAAAAGTGCTGGTATTAAAAGTGTGAGCCACCCCATCCAGCCTGCACTTGTAGTTACTTAATGTCCATTTTCCCTACTAGACTGAGGTCATGGAACCTTATTTTCTGTTTGTCACTCTGTCCCTAATGTCTAAGCAGTGGACAGTATTTGTTGATTGCTGTCTTAATCAGCCACTCACTGGGTTAACTCTCATTTAACTTCACATCCTTTGAATTATTATTTACAGCATTGCATGTCAACTAGTGTGTAATGGATAATGTTTCAGGCCATCAGGTATCTTATAGAAACCCCTTTGGTTCATCTACCAAAGGTCAAATAAAAGGTTAGAGTCTAGGTCCTCTTCCCTAAGCTACACCTAAACTTGTCCTGGATAAAAAAATACACTGAAAGTTTTTTTTCTATTTATTGTTTTTACTAAAAGATGCTTTCCCGCCACTCCTTCAGTATCACAGGTCAAACGTGAAAAAAAAAAAATGCTTTTTTTTTTTTTTTTTTTTGAGACGGAGTCTCGCTCTGTCCCCCAGGCTGGAGTGCAGTGGCCCAATCTCGGCTCAGTGCAAGCTCTGCTTCCCAGGATCACGCCATTCTCCCGCCTCAGCCTCCCGAGTAGCTGGGACTACAGGCGCCTGTCACCACGCCAGGCTAATTTTTTGTATTTTTAATAGAGACTGGGTTTCACTGTGTTAGCCAGGATGGTCTCGATCTCCTGATCTCGTGATGCGTCCTCCTCGGGCTTCCCAAAGTGCTGGGATTAGAGGCGTGAGCCAATAAAAAATGCTTTTTAAAAAAACTTGAGACAGGGTCTCACTCTGTCACCCAGGCTGGAGTGCAGTGGGGTGTTTACACTGCAGCCTCCACCTCCCAGGCTCAAGCAACCTCCCACCTCAGCCTCCCGGAAAATTACTCTTGGCAATAACTATGGCAATGTAGCATTGTTTTCTGTTGAGTATAATCTTTTAAACCACTTATCTCATTAACAGCAAGTAGGTTAGGACTTTCTCTTAATAGGTACAAGCTTCTTACTCTTTTAATATATAGCTAAAACGATTACTTTTTCCCTATGTTTAAAATAGAGGGATCAATGAAATCAGGTTCAGGAGAAAATTATGAGTTATCCTTAGGGCAAAAATGGGGATCAATTTACAACGGGGCAGTAACTGGGACTCTTATAACCTCTAGGTTTGTTTATCATGTGATCATACAACATATTAATTCATGCCCTCCCATCTGCAAAATGGCAATACTAATTTTTTTTTCCTCCCTGCTTTACAGAGTTGCGGTAAAGGGTGGTTGCCAGCAAAATGCAGACATGTCCACAGATTAAAGGAACCAGAAAGTAAAACATAGTAAGCACTGTTACCTTATTTATATCCCAGAGAACCAGCTTGCTTTTAAGTTTAGCAAATTCATAGGCAGTCAGTCTCCCAATTCCATGCCCAGCTCCTGTAATTAGCACGATTTCGCCGGCGACTGATTTTCTCCTCTTAGGAATAAAAAGCTTCACGAAGGACTCTAGGCAGCAGACGATGAGTAAGGGGAGAAGCAGGAGGAGGTCCAGAAGGAATTTCATCCTTTTTGTTGCTGGGAGCGTTTGGTGTGTCTTTTCCGACCACTCTAAACTGCTTTTAGAGGGTTGCTCGATCTAACACCAGAAAGAGTAGGGGCGAGAGCAAGGAAGAGCTCCCCTATCAAAGAAAAACAACTCCGAAACCGTTCCTTCCGCTGGGCTGGGCTTTGTTGGTCTTTCGCAATTGGCTCGGGCTGCAGTGCTTGCTCGCTCAGAGATCTGGGAGGGACGAAGTCCAGACCCGAGCAAAGCTTCCTAGTTCTGCTTCGCGCAGCCCCCAAGCGATGTGTGGCCGCGACTATCTTTTACCCACTTTCTCCCGGTGTCGTGAGCCGGCAGTGGAGGGTTAGCTGCTCACTTGTTTTCCTAAACTGGATAAATTCCAAGGATAACCGACAGTATCCGCAAGCCAGATGCTTCTTTCAAAGTTGAAGGTTGCTTATCACTAGATAGGGGTGCCGCTGGGCGTGGCGGCTTTCGCCTGTAATCCTGGCACTTTGCGAAGCCCTGGAGGGAGAATCGCTTGACCCCAGGAGTTCGAGATCAGCCCGAACAACATAGGGAGACCCCCTAGTCTCTTATTTTTTTATTTTTTTGGTAATTAGCCAGGAGTAGTGGCGCGTGCATATAGTTCCAGCTACTCGAGACTGAGGCACGAGAATAGCTTGAGCCCAGGAGGTCGGGGGTACAGTGCGCGAAGATAAGATCGTGCCGTTGCACTCCAACCTGGGTGAAAAGGCCAGACTTTGTCTTAAAAAAACAAAAACTAGATAGAGGATGCAAATGTAGATTCCTATCTTAAAGGATCTTGAAAAGACCAAGCGTTCTGCTTCCAGCTGAAAAATTACGCTACATCACATTTTAGTTTGAACTAAGCACGATTTCTGAAGACGGGAAATTTTGTCTGTTCAAGGACAGCTATAATAAAGCGCCTGGAAAAATTGTTACCATATTAAAGGGCTTGTTTCCACAAGAAAGAAGAGTATATTTGAATAATCATTTTTCACTTGACCTATCAGAGTTTGAAAAGAAAAAATATATATTGTACTTTAGGAATTTTATCTTTATTCAAGTGAATAAATAAATAGCAAATCATTTAGCCTAGAGATTACCTATGTAACATTTCGTTTTGTAGCCTATATAAATGGGTGTTCAGTATATGTTAACTGGTGACTTGAAAAAAACTCTAGAGATTGATTAAGGGAAGAAAAGACCTAACTAGGGTTTGTGTGCAGTAAGAGCTTAATAATGGTATTGTATGCAATTTTTTCCAATTCATTTTTCACAGACATTGAATGTGGGTTTTGCGCAAGACACGCCAGTGCTTGGGAAGAGACTTCGTTGTGTGCCAATGGTCAACTTTTATATTTAAGAGCCAGAAAGATCACAAAAAAAACCGAAGTTCACAAATAGTTCATACTCGATGGTCCCTCTTACTTAAGCAGCCATATGTTGTTATAGGGGATGAAGGGATAGTGGCAGCCTCACAAATGTGAGCTCTATTGTGGAATTCTTTGAATTCAGAATATCATCTACAACGTTTTTTGGATAGCCTCCAAATCCAAATTTACGAAACACTTGTATAGAAAGTTTACCAAGTGTTTTTCCACATATATTATTTCATTTGATTTTGAAAAGCCTCCTAGGAAATAGAGAAGAAAAGTAGAATAAAGATATATTTATGCCCCTATACTATAAATGAATAAATCTGTTAGATCAACTTTAAAGTCTATACAGCGAGTAAAACTGTAACTGGGGCTACACATATGGTCAGTGTTTATCAATTTTTTTTGTTCAACACCTACAGGAATAAATTACACATCTTACATGGTGATCTAGTGTAAGAAGTGTTTCAACTATGTTGACTTTCATATATTGAGGCTCTGGCTATGCTATTTCTTTTTCTTTTCTTTTTTTTTTTTGAGAAGGAGTCTCACTCTGTCTCCAGGCTGGAGTGCAGTGGCGAAATATTGGCTCACTGCGACCGCCACCTCCCAGGTTCCAGTGATTCTCCTGCCTCAGCCTCCCGAGTAGCTGGGACTACAGAAATGTGCCACCACACCCAGCTAATTTTTGTATTGTTAGTAGAGACGGGGTTTCACCATATTGGCCAGGATGGTCTCAATCTCTTGATCTCGTGTTCCACCTGCCTCGGTCTCCAGAAGTGCTGGGATTACAAGCGTGAGCCATCGCACGCAGCCTGGCTATGCTATTTCTCATTCCGTTCTCTTAATAAAAAAAAAAACTTGGTAGTTTTAACCTACAGTTGATAAAGGTTTCATTGGTTAAGGGAAAGAACACAGCATTTGGAAGCAGTCATACCTGAATCCCTTATGTGTGTGTGACTTCATCTCTCTGAACATGTTTCTTAATTTGTAAAATTGAGATAACTAATACTTACCCTACAGGATTCTTGTGAAGTTCAAACGAGTTAATAGAAAGCACATTGCTTTATCAACTATTCAACTCTATGTAAATTTTAATTAACACTAATAGAATGTGAGTGATGTGAATAGTCTTGTGAATGATGGTTGTAACGTGAATGATTTTGTGAACAGCACACTAGATGTTTACAATTAAAATTGTTCACAGAGCACAGATTAGCTTCTAATCTGACAGTTATGTGATTTTATGTATTTGTGGTTTTAAAAAATATCTTTCATTGGCAGGGTTTAAAATATTTTGTACTTGGGACATCTGTTTTTTAAAAATTTTTATCTATTTATTTTGAGACTGGATTATGAGACTAGCGAATTTTTGTATTTTTGGTAGAGGCAGGGTCTCCCTACCCTGGTAGAGGCTGGTCTTGAACTCATGGGCTCAACCGATCCACCGGCCTTGGCCTCCCAAAGTGCTGGGATTACAGGTGTGAGCCACCGCACCCAACCTGTGTGGGACATCTTAATTTCATGCTGCCTTCCCAGAAGTTGAAACAGTATTTAAAAAAAAAAAAAAGATGAGGATAAAGGGGTCTTTCTTTCTTTCTTTCTTTTTTAGTGTTCAAAAACGCTAACTTGAACCAGAAGAATAGGGATCTTTCATCAATGTCTTGAACAATTGCTATGTCCAGGCATATGCTAAGTGCTTCACATAACACATTTCATTTTATCTTCTCAATAACATTAAGCAGTAGGTTCGATAGAAATCTATATTATATGAATGAAGAAATAAAGAATTAAGAGAAATTAAGCAAACCACTTGAGGTCATAGTATAAATGTAGAGTTGAATTTAAACCTAGGCTGTCATCACCAGCCTTTTTTTTTTTTTTTTTTTTAAATGGGAGTCCCAGCCAGAGCAATTAGCCTTCTTCTTTTTCCGTAGGGCAACAAAGAAAAGCTTATCAGTTCTGAACCATTAGATAAATTCAAAAAGATCAAAACTCCTGATTTTGAATCACAACATTAATAACACTTCCCTTTCATACAATTAGGTAAATACCTTAATTAGCAGGCAATAGATTGCAGCTGCTAAAAGAAGGCGTTTGACATGTTCTCACTCACAGGTGGGAATTGAACAATGAGGTCACTTGGACACAGGAAGGGGAACATCACACACCCAGGTGCTATTGTGGGGAGGGGGTAGAGGGGAGGGATAGCATTAGGAGATATACCTAATGTAAATGATGAGTTAATGGGTGTAGCACACCAACATGGCACATATATACATATTTAATAAACCTGCATGTTGTGCACATGTACCCTAGAACTTAAAGTATAATAGTTAAAAAAAAAAAAAGGCGTTTGAATTCCTACCAAGTTTTTAATGAGCTATGTGGTATTTGGTTAATTACTTAACCTCTCCTGAGGTCTCAGTTACCTCATCTGTAAAATGGATGTAATAGCAGCTTGGTTGCTCTGAAGAGTAAATGAGATATATATAAAGCACAGAGTCATTCATAAGAGTAAAAGGCACAAGAGTAAATGAGATATATAAAAGCACGTCTTGCATACAAACATACTTAGTGAATGACAGCCATTACTATATGTTAATCAGTCATCAGTAAGAGGCCTGTATTTGTAAGGCTGACTCTGTAGTATCCCAGCAGATTAGGAATGAAAGACCACCGTGACACTTAGCAATTACATAGGCCAGTGCAGAATGCTCACTTTCACTCTAAAGAATACTGAGGAAAAATATACAGAAATGATTGCCACACCTGCTAACAGTGGTATTTCCCATAGTTTTCTTGTCATCCCGAGATAGAAGACTTCACAGTTTGACTCTGAAATCTGAATTTTAGAGCTGGAGAAATTTAGCCATTAGCTTGTGTGCAATGACACATTTTTTTTTTCAATAATGAATCTATAAATTCAAAGTAGTACTTTCAAAATTGGAGTCAATGCTCTCAAACCCTACTGCTGTTTTATAAACTAAGTTTATGGAATATTCTAAATCCTTGTTTTCATTTAAATATCTTCCTTGTTTTCATTTAAATATCTACTTCACTAGAAGTAGATTCCATCTCAAGAAACCGGTTTACCTTGCACTTGTTTATCTGATGGAGATGACTTCTTTCCTTAAACCTCAGGAATCAATTTCCACTAGCTTCAAACTTTTCTTCTGCAGCTTCCTCACCTCTCTCAGCCTTCACAGAATTAAAGAGAGTTGGGTCTTGAACTGGATTAGGCTTTGGTTGAAGGGAATATTGTGGCTGGTTAGATTTATCCAGACTAAAACTTTCTTCATATCAACAATAAGGCTGTTTCACTTCCTTATCATTTGTGTGTTCATTGGCATAGAACTTTTAATTTCTTTCAGTAATGTTTCCTTTGCATTCACAACTTGGCTAACTGTAGATGCAAGAGGCCTAGCTTTCAGCCTATCTTGGCTTTCAACATGCCTTAAGTCTAATCATTTCTAGCTTTTGATTTAACATGAAACTCATTTGAGTCTTCTTTTCACTTGAACACTCAGAGACCACTGTAGGGTTATTAATTGGCCTAACTTGAATATTGCTGGGTTTCAGGAAACAGGAGGCCTGATTATGAGGAGCGGGTGAGAGGGTTGTAGGGAGACAACCTGTTGGTGGAGCAGTCAGACATTTGATGCTTATTGATTCAGTTTGCTGTTTTATTCAGATATGCGGTTTTTGGTGTCCTAAAACAATTACAATAGTAACATCAAAGATCACTGATCACAGATCATCTTAACAGATATAATAATAATGAAAAGGTTCGAAATATTGTGAGAATTACCAAAATATGACACAGAGACATGAAGTGAGCTTTAGGAAAATTGTGTGGATGGACTTGTTCAATGAAGGGTTACCATAAAGCTTCAATTTGTAAAAAGCACAATATCTATGAAATGCAATAAAATCAAGTGCTGTAAAACAATGTATGCCTGTAATTTGTCGAATGTTCTATGGTTCATAATATGGGAATCTAGGTCTCTCTGACTCTGAGGTTATACTCTTGAAATGTCCCTCCCTTCTCCCATTTTTTTGGCCTCCAAGATGTCTTTGGATTTGTAAAGAC